AATTTCACTCTTCATGGCTATTTTGTAGTCACTGGTATCAAAAGTCTATCACAAAGAACCCGTTCCCTCAGATTACTCCATTGACTGTTGAGGCTATGTTTTCATGTTGAAGCAATCGATATCGATACAATCTTACCTGTTTGAAGTATCAAATACGATCCATAACCGATCATCAAAGATGAAATTTCCTTAAAGACATTGAACAAAAAGTCGATGATTGTGTTACTCTTCTTTCGTTCTTCGTTTTTTGAACGGAAAACGAAAAGCAAAATGGAGAATTTGCACGCAAATGATTTAATGCTTCATCTGAGAGTGCTTAAGGAGCTGATTTCGCAGTTTCTTTTACAACTTATTTCTGATATGGGAATAATATAAAAATAGATTGACAAGTGAGAAAATGCGCTGCTTTATGACGTCATCTGGCGGCATTTCCAATTTTAACACATGCATTCTAGCAGATTACATCATTTTGTCATATCTCCTTCGATAGTTGCTCAATTCATGAGGCAATAAGGGACTTTAAGGGTATTACCGTGCACTGGAAAAAAACACATTGGATCTAGAGTCTAGACTCTTGAAAACATTGACAAGAAAAAGGACTCTTGATTCAATCTCATTTTAGCTTAAATCAAAAGGAAATCCGCTCAAATTAAGAGGCTTGGTTCTTGATTTAGGCTTAAATCTGATTGAATCAAGAGTATTTTTTCTTGTCGATGTTTTTAAGAGTCTGGACTCCAGATCCAATGTGTTTTTTTTTTCCAGTGAGCTCAGTTCACACGGTAGTTTTCACTTAGACATAAAATCCATCAAATTTCAGACACCTGCAAATTCTCCATTCAACGTCAAAATCATCCAGACTGCCAAAACTTAGGATAACGGACAATAATAACTACTGTTGGCGATACGAATAAGCCGTCCCATTCCTAGGATAATCGAAATTGCCTTTTATGTGTATTGTATGTGCCCTGTGGAAAATTTAAAAAATTGTGAAGGTGAGCACAAGCAAACATGGCACCGCGGCAGGACGAAACTGCGACGCGAAGAGATCCCCCATTAAATTGATCTACATTCTCCACCGTCCCATAACTTTATTCTTTCCGCGAAAGGACGTAGCGAGAGGATTAGGAGAGCTCCACGTCCCCCGTAAAACCCCTCATCCCTCTCACCCCTCCTCCCGCCCACCACCTTTGGCCCCGAGGATTTAGCGTCTGCACGGAGAGATGCATTTTCCAGCTCGCACTTCGTCCGACTTGTGCAGTTAACTCTCGTCCTCGCACTTTTGTTCCTATGCAAATGCAGCCACAACTCCTGCTTATCGATTATTTCCGCCTTTGTTTCCCCGCGCTTCAAATGCTTTGTGTTTCACGCTGAAGCGAGCGTGAGAGCCAAAATAATCAAGGAAAAGCCAGAGGAGGGAGGGAAAACATTTAGACTGGGTGACCCGGATTCGTAGTCTGGCTAACTTCTAATTTTTTTTTTTTTTTCTACTCGGTGGCTGCACATGCACACTGCCGTGCTAAGGAAGAATGCCGTAAGAACATTCGAGAGTTGCCAAATTTCCTTCAATAAAATATTTATTCTTGAGGAAAGTTATAAATAGGAAGTTATATATATGAAGTTAGGAAAGTTATGAGTGTTTATTCTTGAGGAAAGTGTTTCCTTGAAATCTATGCTCGCTTGCTCTATGATCGGGAGGTTCTGAGTTCGATTCCCGACCGGGTGACCCGAGTTTCATGGTCTCAAACAACGGTTACCTGGGGATGGCTTGATTAGGGACGGAGGGAGATGGGGCTCCGGGGATGGTAAAGCGCAGGATTATCACTCGTGGGATACTTGAAGTGTTAAAAAAAAAAAAAAAAAAAAAAAAAAAATTCAGGAACTTTAGATGAAATTGTAAACAACAATATCTAAAAAATTAGAGGACAAGTATTCAAAAGTTTACCAAGAAATTCGTGTTTTATGAATGGAAATTCGGCAACGCCCGAAGGTTCATACGGCGTTTTTCCTTAGCACGGCAGCACACATCGTCGCTCCCCTAACGTAAGGGCGTATCGCGATTTAGACATGAGCCCCGATCTCCGTATAGCTCTTTGCTTCCCGGGGCTCAAGTGGAAATAGAGATACGCCCTTACGTCAGAGGGGCGATGACATGTGGCATGCAAACAGTAAAGCTCACTGTTTTTACGTCTCAAGTAGTTTAACCCTGATCTCACTGAGGAATCAACTTGATGAATGTTCTAGTCATTTTTGGACTTGGATGAAGACCCTCGAGGCTACAGTAACTAGGGTGCTTTTATTTATCGTCATTTTTAAGGGGTGCCCCCAAAATATCCTGAAAATCTTTTCTCCGGCTTTTTTTTTCTTTCCTAAGCGAAAAATAATTTTTGATATGGAACAACGATGAATGTTGACAGAGTCATTAGATGCGGCGAAAATGCGCCATGTAGGAGCACCATCTAAGTCTTGATTCAGAGAGAAATATCATCGGCAACACTTTTAACTTTGCAAGTAACATGAAAACTTCTATTGGGGGGGGGGGTGGAGGGCGTGTATAAGCCTAGCAAAGACTACGGTGAACTCAATTTCTGGCACCATACGGATGGTTCTCTTGGATTACATTAATTATTCGTTTTGAATCATTTCCAAAACATTACATGACATCGAGGAATCTGTATTATCGAGATATCTTTATTAAACCTTCAGGTAGATTGTGCAACCTTTTCTAATCTATTCAGCTGGCGATTGTCATGGCTGGAACGCTCGAAAAAAGACCGAAACAGTATGAGTTCTCAAGCTTTCGTCTCAAGTATCTTTCGATGGGAGGAGCTGTTGGAACTTCAACATCTCCGCGCCTCGAATATCTTTGAAACGATCCGAAGAAACAAACTTTGTGACTAGCAGAACTCTTCCAGAAAATACTCCCTCCAGAACTTTCGGAACGTAGCTGTAAGAAGGTTCTTGGTACTTCAAAGGTAAAAACTTGGACTTTTATGATTGAGAACTAATTACTGCGAGTTGTCTAAAAGTACGGGAGGCAATATAAAGAGGGAAAAGCCCGGCCTTGAATCTCAGAATCTGACACTGTCGAGAAAACAAGCTTTGCCTCTTGCTGGGGCGAGAAATATAAGAAATGAAATACGTTAGAACCAATCCATTAGATAAGAAAAATAATTTTGAAAACATTCAATGCGCTACTTACAAAGCTTCCTAATGAGGCTAACCTCCGGGCTCAAAAATACAATTCTGACACCAAAGAACGTGGAACAACGACACACACTAAACACAGATCACAACACTTTGGGGGAGACACTTAGAATGGCGATGAAGAACAAATATATTTGCTGGGAGTTCCAAGTAATCGTTCCGAAGAGGGAATGTTCCAGGATACAAAAGAAAACGAACGGGGCAAAAAGCAACTAAAAAACACCAATGCGCAACTAAAAATGAAAAAAATGACGAAGTGGATTTGTGTTGAAGAAACACGAATTACCAATAGAACGGAGAGATCTCACGCGTTGTAATTCAGATGATTTCGCAAAGAACAAGCTTCCGTGAAGTTCTCGAATTCAGCGAGGATCAAAATTGATTTTTCGAGGCTGCGACGGTTTTTCGCACACGCGGCTAGCAAAAGCTGTTCAAAGGATCGTCACTATCTAGCACTCCACTTGAACCGATTGAAAACTCAGTTCACTGATAACGGGTTTTTTAGTCACCGATGTGAAGGAATTAGCTTCCGGTTTTCACTGGACAACAAGAGAAACAGTTTTTGAGATAAAAATTGGGATTTCCGGTTGGCGGTAATTTGGTTGTGACAGGTGAAACGCACCGATGCTGCAAAAGCGGCAACACTCAACAAAACGGAGCCGTGGGTTTGACGACGCGAGGGCCGCGAGCGCCGGCGGAGCACCGTTCGGGCACCTTCGGTCGACTTCGGCTCTTCCCGCCCGCGAAAATTATCCGAGCTCCAGCTCCGATTAAGCTCCGTAAGCGCCTCGCCTCCATACCGACGCATCCCGCCCATCATCCCTTGTTATTTGTTTTCGTGTCCCTAAGATTGCCAAACGGGGAAAGTACACCAAACAAGTCAGTGTGGATCGCATTCTCACGCTTCTGACAAGTCCAAGGCAATGGGTCAGTGTGCTGGTCATAGAATCGTGTTTTTATGCTTGATTCTTGTAGATTAGCTAATAATAATAAGATCTGTCCAAACAGCAACTTTCTACGTTGCAAATTAACCGATATATCGCAAAAGTTCTGTTCATGACATCATCTATCGCGGTAGTGACTGGTTTCTTCCACCTTGTTTTTATTGGTGGGGGAGACAAACATATGCTCTGGTTCCTCAACGTGTGACTCAAATGAAAACGAGGTGGAAGAAACCACGGGTGTCACTACCGCGGTAGAAGAAGAAGTAAACCGAATTTTTCAAAGCGCGATATCTCGATTAATATAGAGCGTAGAAAGTTACTGTTGGGACAGATCTTAATAACTTTAGCTGATCGGCAATTATCAAGCCATAAAACACGCGCCACAGGCGCAACTAACTCATTGGGGAGGACCGGTAATTTGCAAGCCACAAAAAATGAATAGAAAATATAATTCAGAGATAAAGAAACTCGAGGAAGGAACGAAAGAATTTGTCTGGGAGAGAAAAAGAAAAACCGTTTTTTTTTCTCCTTCAATGCATGCTGGGTTTCCGCATAAGAGTGCGCATAATGTAATGTTCCGGTCGGATAGGCAACTAAACTAACCGCGTTGTGACGCGGTGGGTATTACGAGGAGATGAAGGAGCTTTAATCTGAGATTGAGCGTTTGAAATTCCTTATCGATCGAATTTACTGGCAGGACGTTTCACGAGAGTCAAAACATTCGCTACTTAGGTTGTGGGTTTGTTTTGGCAGAAAGAATTATCAAACTGATTAACAAAAATTCGAGGGAAATCAGAAAAAGAGAAGGAAAAAGAGGAAGAGGGAGGAAAAATAGAAGAAATAAAAACTTACCGCATTCTTGTCGGTTTGAGGTGGTATTGAGCTAGCGCCGTATCTTGAGGTCGGCCTCCTTCTTGTGCCTACATTTTCACCACGTAAGATTCCATTTACAACTGCAAGAAATAATTAAAAACAAAATTATAAAATATGAATCAATTCAACTTTTGAATTCAGTGAATCCATCAATTTCAATTATCAGTCCGCAGATGACACATATTTAGATATCCATCTTGATTCATGCGAGTACCATGCAGAACTTTGCAATTTCTGATAGATTCATCGCCATCTGTTGGTCAAATCTATTTTTCATAGTAAAACAGAGCCTGGGAAAAAGGAGGAAAAGAGAGAAAAATAGACGATTCAAACTAGGAATAGAACTTGGAGCTACGCTTGGTCTGGGTAAGGGTTGCGCTGGAACGAACTTATCTCCGTTGCCAAACTTTCTTGGGCGCTTCCGACTTGGTGGCGACCGCATCATCCGAAAGTTGCAACTTCCAAAAGCGCTTACCGAGTTTATTCACATTGCCCCGCGCCACTTTTGATGAAGTTTCGCACGCCTCGTGCTTTGCTTAATAGTTAGCCGCCGGGATGTGACTGGCGTCTGCGCTGCTGCCACATTCACAATTCCAGGGTTGCCACAGAATTTAGAAAATGAAATTCCCTCACATTTCACTGACACATTTTGGTGAAATTCCCTGACATTTCCTCTGACATATTTTGGTGGAATTCCCTGACAATTGAAGATGTGACGGATGGTTAAGAAAGCTTAATTGCAAATAGTTCTCTGGCAAAATTTGTTGTTCGAAACCTCGAACCCATTCTAAAAAGCAAATGAAGGTGATTTAACAAATTTTCCCTGACAATTCCCGGTTTTCCCTGACTTTTTAAAATTCCCTGATATTTTCAGATTTTCCCTGACTGTGGCAACCCTTCAATTCATATTACCCATTCATACACTGGAAAAAAAGTATCACAATCTCAAGTATACTTCCAGCTGATTTTGGCGCCAACTATAAAACCGCCGTGCTAAGCAAGAACGCCGTAAATCCATCAAGATTTTCCCGCGTTGTTCTGAACTTTATAAAAAATTGACTTCATAAAATAAAAACTGGTTTATCCATGCACCTCACATTTTCAGGTTAATTTCTTGATAGTATTTGCGAAAAAATTCTGTAAAAACATTGTTCCAAGGTTTACAAGTTCTCCTGCTGTTAAACATCTTTTCCAAAAAATTGAAAATGTCGTTTACGGCGTTTCTGCGTTGCACGGTATAAAAGTAGTTGTAACTAGAAGTGTAAAGGTACCAAACAGCGGTGTAGATTATCCAACTGCACTAATGTTGACTTTGAGAGCACCAACTAGAGGTATGGTTGATTTAGAGATACTCTAGTGTTTGTGTAGGGGTGATTGAGAAAGAAGGAAGATACTTTCATTTGAAAAACATTTCATTTGACTGGTCCGAGGAAGGGAACAAGCATGGGGGAGGAATCATGGACAAAACAGATAAGGGATGGAGGCTAAACGAAGGAGTTTTATTTATTCTTTTAGCATAAATTCTTATACTTTCTCTACTGAATGAGAGATCGTGAACAAAATACGTAAGGCTGAACCCTTTGTAACGTATTCGTAACACTGGTTTGCACCGTCACAGAAGAAAGTACGAAACGCTTCTTTGACTACCCCCTCACATTAGCGTTTTGGGCTGAGTTTGGGGTGGAATATTGTCGCTTCGCGTTGATTTTTAGTTTTACAGTCTTTCGAAAAATTGCTGCTAAGCACCTAATATTGCATTACGGAACGCACTCTTGCGGACGCCCCTCCTCCTCCTCCTGTAATATACCCGTAACGCAAGCTCTGACCTCCCTTCCCCTTAGGCGTTACATATTTTATAGACGGCAACTTTTATTAATAAAAAATGAATCCTGCATGCTCAAATCTCTGTTTCGCGAAAAGACAAAAATTCATAATTACCTCCGTCTCCTAATATTTTCATGTGAACCAGCCTTGGGTCTTCAAAGTGTTCCTCTAAGACAGTGTCGTCCATTAAGGTTAATTCCTGGAAGAGCAAACAAAGAAAACGATGAAAACAAGAAACGAAGGAAAGCAACACGAGCACTCGTTGGCGAATAAAAAATGCATGCGGATAAATAAGTGAATGAGTCACGATGAAAAACATAATCCGGACAAATGCATTTTCGCCGACAGGAGGCTTTCGAAAAAAATCCTGTATTTAACATTGTTCCGAGCGTGACCTTTGGTCCCGCGCGGAGTACACATTTTTTATTAATGGCGTCGAACTTTTTTATCCATACACCGGGCGCGTAGCGAGTTGGGCTTATGATCCGGGCGAACGGAGCGCTTCGAGCAGAAATTTAATACCGAGTCAAAGTTGGGAAATGACAATTTTTCTTCCTTTCTCTATTCGACGGGGGGAAAGTTACAGGGATCAATTTATCGTAAACTTTTTAATCGTAATTAAAGTTCTCGGTTTTTCTCACACGCCCCGCGCCGGGCCGGATTTTAATACACAGATCGGGCGGGTTGCATATCGACGGGATCGCAGGGGCCGACTCCCGCCTTTCCCGCGGAGGGTGGCGGGATCTGGCAACTCCTGTGGGAGGAGGATCCGGGACGGAGCGCAGATAACTTAGTTTTGAAAAGTTGTCGACTTGCAGGGATAAAGTTGGAACTTTATTTATTTATAGCCTCGTCGGGTGGGGCCTTCGCTCCCCCGCCCCCTCCCCCCCCGAGCCCGTTACCGACCGAGTTAACCCTGGAGTTTATCGCTTTCCAGGGCGTCTCCGGGATGTAACATCAAAATCGTTTCCAGCCAGCACGTGCGGTTTTCGCGTAGTTTCAGCCAACAATGGCCTGTAAAAGGCTGTGCACTAGGATTCGAGTGTTTTTTTTTTTGCCATCCGAAAAGTACCGACAACAGCTCATTGGAATGAGTGGGGTTCGTTTTAAAGGCATTGGACAGAACTTTGTCTCTTTGCCATTCGTTTTCCTTGTTTTTTTCTTTCGGCAAAATTTGAATCGTCCGGTTCGAAATTGATGTAGATCTGGAAAGTTGAAATATTATTTTTCAATTGGGGAAATGTGGTTTTGGTCTGACTCAATTTTTACTCATTTATTCATTTATGATCATCCATTTTACTTCCATGATTATTTTCAGCCTTAATAATTTAAAAGTTAACAGCAAGTGATCAACCCATTAATTGTTGCGTTCATTTGAAAATAATGATGTTTTTGGATTTTAATTGCATAGTGAATGTTGAATTTCCTCCTTTCTTCCTTCCAGTATTTGCCCTTTCGTTGTACATATTTGGTTTTTTTCTTTATTCTAGCTCTTATAAATAAATTTTCAACGTATAGTCATGAAACATTAACTGAGAAAATAATTTTGAAATAGTGTCCAACGTATGCTGTTTTCTGCTTACGCCATTCTAAATAATCAGAGGCGGATCCAGCACTTTGGCAACACCGGATTCCCTCCATTTAAACCTATGCTACAATCGATTCTTGTTGGGGCATCTGGTCCCTCCAAGAATCGATACATTTCCGTAGTTTAAATAGAGAAAAAACAATGTTGCCAATTTGCCGGACCTGCGAATGCAAATAATGATGCGCTTGCCCTTCTTCAAATCTAAAAGAACTATTCAGACTGATCTTCTTCCACCAATAATTTACATTTCAAGTTGGATGGCTAGATGCATTTATTTACTTGCGGATCCTTGATTTTTCATGGATGTGACAGGTGGTTTCTTGTCATCTCTCCTCAATGCACTACTAAAAGCGCATGCATGACGAATGCACTTTGCCTCAGACACTCGAGTATGCGTGGTGAACCGAGGAGTGAATTTTACGAAGGAAAAGGTTGGGCACAGCGAGGAAAATGGCACTCGGCTTCGAATGGATGCGTACCGGCCGTAAATAAAATTGAATAAATGTTTGTAAAATTATATTCGGTTACGTGGTATGGATCGTTGTCTCAGGTCATGGAAAATTGCACGTCTGCCCGGAGTCACATTCAATTTTATATAAATAGACGAACGAACGACTAGATAAATAAACAAATAACAAACAAAACAAAACTGAAACAAAATACCGATTGTCACGCATGTCAAGCTTGTTTTTTTTCCTGAGCAAATCGGTGCACAGTACTCAGTGAGGCGTACTGAGAGAAGTTTTTTCTTTCTCGGTGTGATGATAGTGGGGTGAGCGAATGCGGAAGGGGGAGACAAAACTTCTGATTCAAAAAAAGCGCATCCCCACCAGTGGCGTGACGTGAACAATCGATTATCGATATTTCTCCATTTGAAGCTATAATAAAGGATCGATTGTTAAGGTGTTCGTTACGAACATCCGGTTTATCGATTCTTTTCCATAGGTTTAAATAGCAGATCAATCGATACATCGCAAAGCGCGCCACGCCACTGATCTCCACCATCGTTGGACTCTTTCCTAGATTTTAAAAACCACCAACTTATTCGGATTGTGATTTTTGTACAATTTACAGCTTCACTTTTAACCGAATATCCATGGTGGGGAGGAATTTTCTGCTAACGCACAGTTTCAACCAGCAAAAATCCCGGTGAGGTTTATACTTTCAAAATCTTCGTGCAAATGTTGCCGAAGTTTTTTTGCAACTTAATTTGGGAATGCATTTTATTCAGGAGTTAAACAAATGTAGAACTATTGTTTTTTAACCACGCAGTCATGTGACTCCCAGCATCTTTACAAGCATTAAAATTGTCACGGTGACACATCCCTAAAACTTAGCAACGCTTTTTATTGATCTAGGTCATTCGATATCGATTCAATAATGGAGAATTTGCAAGGGTCAGAAATTTGATGAATTTCGTGTTTTAGTGGGATTTACTAAGTGAGCTGAACACGAAGATATACCCTTGATTCATAAACTGAGCAATTATTAGAGGAGGTATGACAAAATAACCGATTCTGCTGAAATACATGTGTTTAAATAGGAAATGCCGCAGATGACGTCATAAAGCAGCACATTTTCTCACTTTTAAATCAATTTTTCTCCAAGATCTCATGTCAGAAAAAAATTATGAAAAATACTGCGAACTCAGCTCATTACGCGCTTTCAGATGAAGCACTAAAATTTTTGTGTGCAAATTCTCCGTCTAGCCGCTGCACAGATATATTTTGGAGATTTGGGGTATATTTTTAACCGCCCCCAATCCCCTCACACTCAAAACATTCAGCGCGGCGACGCCCTTGCCATCGTTTTAGCCTCGAGCCTTTTTTGCGTCGCAGTGAAAAGGTCCGGGAACGTGATGTCCGGACGAACAGAGGGCTCAAACAATGGGATCGGCGAAACGACCGTCGCAGGTGCCAATTTCCCGCAAAATGACCGGAGCTCCGACCGCGGTGTACACAATATCCGAATATTGTGCAAAAATCGGTCAGCGAGGGGTAGAGCCAGAGCCCACAGATGAGCTTGTTACATGGCAAATGTGCAGCAGCGACATGCATGCATGGACGCATGCTCGCCGGGTAAACACACAGTTTCACGTCCGACTCATTTGTCTGGACAGCATCCGAGAGGAGCTGCGGTCGGCCGCCGGGTGATTTTCCAGACTATCTCATTTTCATAAATAGTTGCGATCTGTTTGTTTTAAACCGCCCGCCTGCTTCGATGCATCCATGCGTCTGAGTGGTGAAAAGTTGCCCGTCATCATCGGAAGTCACCTCGAGGGAAAGATCGTTTGTCCAAACTCCAAATAGATCGTATTCGATAGAGGTTCGATGTATCGTTCGGTTCATAACAATAGAACATAACCTCAAACGAAAATTTTAGGATTTAATTTGGAAAAGCTGAGGATGAGAAAATTCCTAACAATTTTACTTTTCATTGCCATTTGATACTCGAAAGAATAAAAATTTGATCAAGAAAGACCCGTTACCTTGTATTTCACTGGGGAAAAAAAAACACATCAGATCTAGAGTCCAGACTCTTAAAAACATCGACAAGAAAAAATACTCTTGATTCAATCGGATTTTTGCTTAAATCAAGAACCAAGCCTCTTAATTTGAGTGGATTTCCTTTTGATTTAAGCTTAAATCTGATTGAATCAAGAGTCCTTTTTCTTGTCAATGTTATCAAGAGTCTGGACTCTAGATCCAATGTGTTTTTTTCCAGTGTTCTAAATTGACTTTTGAGGCTATGTTCATATATTGAACCAATTGATATCGATACAATCTCACCTGCTTCATGTATCGAATACGATCTATAACAAGGCGTGCACCTTCATAAATAAAAAAAAAAAAGGTTCCTTCCTGTTGTACTCAAGCCTTTTTTCCTACTTTACTCCTGCAGTACTCCCTATTATGTAATACTGATTTGCTCATAATAATGAAATTGTATTGATTTACCTGTGTGGCATCGTTGAATCCGACGATGACTGCGGTGTACCACTGGGCTATGCCGTAGGTGCGGTAGACTTTGACGCGGCAGCCGTAGAGGATACTCGGTGTATCCATCATCATCTGGAGACCGGCTTGTCGTTCGACTAGCCGCTCGGTGGCCTCCCTCACAGCCTCCAGCTCCTCGCCCAACTTCCCCATCTTCTGCTCCCAGTTCTGCAAAATACCAAGAAAAAATTTCAAAAATCTTCTAAAAACAAACGGCAGACAAAGAATAATCTTCAGAGTTATCACTTTAAACCGATGGAAACATTGGCGGACCCAGCAAATTGGCAACATTGTCTCCATTTAAATCTATAGATTTGTATCGATTTTAGGAGGGGCCAGGTGCTCCGACAAGAATCGATTATTTAGCATAGGTTAAAATGGAGGGAATCCAGTGTTGGATGGAATCCAGTGGATAGAAACGAACCGATTCGTCTGTCCCAGCAGACGAAAGAGCGTCATTGGAGGATTCAGCAAGTTGGCAACATTGTTCTTTCTCCATTTAAACCTATGGAAAAGTATCGATTCTTAAAGGGACCACGTGCTCGTGTTCCGACAAGCATAAATTGTTCAATACAGGACTGTACATGCAGGACTGTTCGATGCAACATTGTCCTCTCTTTATTTAAACTTATGGAAATGTATCGATTCTGTAAGAGACCATGTGCTCCGCCAATCGATTGTTCAATTCAGGTTTAAAGGGAGAAATATCGGTGTTTCCAACCTGCTGGGTCTGCTTATGAGTGGCCACATTTCAACCTTAAAAAATGTCCACTCGAAAATTATTTTTTTCAAGGAAACTGTTGGGAGCAAAGAACTGAAAATGAATTTGATTTTTCATCTGATGACTCTAAAAAAAGAGCAAAATTGTGGACAAAAATTGCAGTATTTCATATTCTTGTAGAAAAAATTAAGTTTTTTTAGTCAGTTTTGCAGCCTTGGTACCCTGTTTCGTTCATTTTTCCGAAAAACTACACGGTATTAACTGAGGTTTATAGGAGAGAGATTTTCCAGAGGGCGCCAGGGTCTTGATGTTGGTGGCAAGATCGATCTAGGTAGATGAAATATCAGAAAACTGCAGATATATAAATGCAACGTCGAATCCAGCTGTGCAACATCGGAAAACTCCGGTCGGAATAAATATCTCAAGAGCGACCGAACACCTCCGATTCGAACTAATGGATTCCTATTTTTTTTCTGCTTGCTTCCAAGGAAACGGTGGAACAGTTAGTCATTCGAGCACGACCATTAACGAATGATTTCCATGCGCCAAGACAAATCACCGAGAAAACATTACATTTTTGAGTCGTTTATACATCATTACCACCTCCCCACTCCTCCGTCCCTTCCTATGATTTCCTAATCGACTCCATGGACATTAAATACTCGTTTACTAATCTCTCGACTCATCTCGGAGATTGCGAGCATTCGCACTAGCTCGGTGCAACGCTGTGTCGAAGCAGGAAAGTGAACGTTATTCTGCCGTGCTAAGGAAAAACGCCGTATGGGCCTTCAGGCGTTGCCAAATTTCCTTTGATAAATCACGAACTTTCGGGACAATTTATAAACATTTTCCTTTCAATTTTTCAGGGAATTTCCCTCGTAATTTGATCTAAATGGTCTAAAAATTTCGAAGAAAAATATTGATAACTTTTCTCAAAAATAAACACTTTATCCGGAGCAATTCGGCAACTCTCGAATGTTCATACGGCGTTCTTCCTTGGCAAGGCAGTATTATCATTCGAAAAAGAGGCTGCAGCCTCAATTGTTCCCAATTGGAAGGAATTTACAACCCTCTATTTATAGAATGGGTTTAAAAGACTATAAATATACAATATACATATACAAAGCCGCTTTTATAGCGGTCTCTGGCGCTCTGCGACACGTGGCCGCCAAAGTCCCCTATCCTTCCAAAGCCCTTCAGGGAGAAAACACTCTTTTAACAAACCCACGCGCCTCTTCATACAGGGTGATCCACGGTTAAACGGACAGATAGAAGGAGCCGAAACACCCCCAAACCCCCACTTCAAATTGAGGTATCGATTTGTTTGTATCATTTATGAATTCAGGGCATATAAGGACAGGAGAGTACAAATTTTCAAGAGTATCGAAGCCGTGGCCAAAATTCAGGAAAAACGACTTACTTTTCGAAATTTTGGAGGCCATAGCTCCGACTGGGGGCACTTTTGGGGGAAAAAAACTTTAAATAACAAAAAAATCTAATTTTGACCCACAGCACAGTTCCTGCAGTCTGGCCGTTTAACGCTGGATCGCCCTGTATTCTCAATAACATTCAATTAAATATTCACACCAGGCCGTGGATTTCTCCCGCGGAAATTTGACAAGCAAAAATACTCACGATTCAACCGGATTTTTGCTCGAATTAAAGAAAAATCCGCTTGATTGCAAGGCTTGGCTCTCGATTCAAGCAAAAATCCGATTGAATCAAGGGTAATTTTTTGGTCACATTTTTTGAGGGTCTGGATTCTGGATCCGAGAGAACTTTTTTCCGGTGCAGAATTTCAGGCACCTGGAGAATCAAAGAGGGATGGCGAAAGAAAAACTGAAGTTCAATAATAAGAATGAAACTTACCTCGTATGCGGTCAATTTTTCATAATTGACAAAGGCGATCAAACCATCCATCACAAATTCAATCGGTTTCACCACCAGCGACTTGTAATCGATGGTCGAGGCAAGCGCTGAGAAAATCTGAAAATAGAAAAGCGAAACATTACCCACCATAAAAATATCAAAAAGGGAACAGGAAAGTGAACTTGGCTGACAAAAAAGCAAAATACCAATGGCAATTGTTTTAATACATAGTCAGGAATAAGACACAATCCCTTCATTTTAGCGTTAAAAGGGAATGCTCTCTATTTAGAATCAAATTCACGACTATTCAAAGGATTTCTGGGAAAAATTTGATCCGTTAAGACTGAGTGAAAAAGTTTATCTCCCTCTTTTGCTTGAAATGTATGAATGAATAGTGTGGGAAATTCAAAACAAGTTTATCCAGCGATAACCTCAACAAAATATCGCATCAGAAAAAAAAAAATTACAACTAGTTTTGAAAANAGTATTAGGTCACAGGAAACCTGTTGTAAAATTCGCAGATCAATTCGAGAGAGATCCACTTCAGAAAGCACTGTAAGACGCGAGGGAGGGTGAGGAAAGTTGACGTTACGTGATTCAATGAGAAGAGGGGATTCCGGGGAGGAGGGAGGTCGTCAAAAGTCGGGGAAAATTAATTATGTAACCAACAATTATTCTCCTTCCGATAGCTATAATAAGTCACGACGACTACCGATCACACTGAGAAAAAAGTTCCTGTGAAAAATGCTATTTCCGCGACAGGAATTTTCCCTGAATCAACAGGAGATCTCATTGAAGTGAAGATCATGTTTGTGAAGGGATAGTAATACTGTTTGAAAAAACAAGGAGATTTCATGTTGTTTCAACGAGTAATTCCTTCCTCGACAGGAGTTCCTGTGTGTTGATCTAATCGGAAATTTCTCCCAGCGCAAAGGAATGTATGTGCGTAAAAAGGTATCGGGGTGCACAATGTTTTCGGTCGCGCGGTCGAGAACAAATTGTGGAGGCTGAATATTTTTGTTCTTTTTTCTTCTTTTTCTTTTCTTCGGAATTTTTCAGATTTGCCAATGATTTATTCCTGCTGTTTCTGTTGCGTGTTCTTGACATCTTTTTAAATTGCATTTGTACTACTTTTGGAACGCTCTCTAAAAATTTTATAAAATTTTAATCAGCGCGCTATGTTGACGTTTTTGTGGAAATTGCGGAGGCCCAGAAGAGTCTGAGCCCCTGGCGAGATAGTCCGCAAAAACACGACAGAAAATCAGGCATGAGAGGAGTTGAAACACCTAACGATAACAAACGAAGAGAATCACAGCTCCAACCGTGGTGCGACAACTCCACTGCCATGCTGGGGAAAAATACCGTATGAACATTCTGACGTTGCCAAATTTCCTATAATAAAATACTAATTTACAGACAAAGTTGTGAATATTTTTTTTCCAACTTTTCAGACAATATTGTTCGCACTTAGATATGAAATGTCTGACAATAACGAGGAAAAATATGCATACCTTCCTTTCAAAATAATCAGTTTATCAGAGGAAATTGGGCAACTCTCGAATGTTCATACGCCGTTTTTCCCCAGCACGGCAGTACGGCTAAAAGGGTTGTTTTTATGTTTGCGGAGCTGATCACCGAGTGGGCGGTAATCCGTTTGGCGTTGGTACATACATACTGCGAAACAGGCGGAAGAGGGGCCCTGAACCGGGGGGGGGGGGGTTTGGGGGGGGGGGC